TTTAAATCTGAAAATTTAAAATCCAATTTATTAAACCATACAAATTACTTAGGTAATTAAATAATTTGTATTTACTTAAGGAGTTGCATTGCACAAAAATAATTTTTTTAATGTTGTCAAGTTTGAATTAACGGCGATTTAGTGTGAGTAAAKTAGTGTATATTGAAAATGATCTTTCAACGTCAGCAGAGGTGATTAGTGAATATTTAAAACACAAAAAATCATTAAGTGTCATGTCTTCGGGTAATCCTAGATTTGTCATATTTTTCTCTTCACCATATTATATAATTTCAGAAATTTTGCAAATCATTTTGTAACTATGGTTATACATAAAATTACGCATACTTAACCACAGTACCTTGAAATGGATTTCTATGTCACCTAGCATTAAATACGACTTAGCAAGATTGATATGCAAATGCATGAACGCTCGAGCMCTGGTTATAACTGTTTTAGTCGCGATAACGGAGGTAGTCTTAGGTGGTAGTCACCATAATAGCCATAGCTTGTATAGCTGGAAAACATAATATTGGTAGTCTTAGGTTACATGATTCATGATTGTGTTGTTATCACAAAACAAAGTAGGTAGTCTCATATATAATAAAAGTACCAAATACTCAAATTAATATAATTAACACAAACTTTTAATAGATTCAAATATTAAAACCTAATATTCGATAACATCCACTGTTAATAAAATTAACAACATTATTACCATTTTTTAAAATTCAGTAAAATATATTCATTAATTTTTTTCATATGCACCATCGATATTCTTAAACTGACCTAACTGTAATCTGCAAGAATTGGTGGCCAGCAGAACCAATCTTTGTTCATAGCTTCAATAATTTAGTGAATTTATCTATTATCAAACTTAAAGTTAAAACAATTTCTGTATTTATACAGGATTTTTAACATATTAAAGGTTAGGTTAAAAACGTAATGTAAGTTATGAGAATGTAAATATTACAATTAAAAAATGCTCATTTAGGTAAGGCATAAAAATTTTAATATCATAGAAAAGCTTAAGTAAAAACATTATAGATTTGTTCTCAACTTAAATTTTGATAATAGGTTATTTCACTCTAATATAATATTAGAGTTAACAATAAAAGATTGATTCTGKTAAACGCTCATTTGCTACGTTGTCTGTAGGTTAGCAAAGAAAAACAAACAGTGCACATATAATTTAAAAGGTTAAAACTTAAAATGTAAGTTTGTTAATTAATTATATTACCTATCCAATGAAGGTATGATAGCTTATATACAATAGTCCTATAATTAGTATTCATTATACAATTTGGTGTTAGGTAATATTTCAAACTACTTGCACATTGTATGTCCCATAGACTATAACTAATAAACATTTGAATGCATATAATTCAGGGCTTTATATATTTATAATCATATAAAAGAAAATGTATGTTATGATTGTAAATAAATTTCATTATTTTGTGTACAAAATAAATTCAAATAGTTGCTTTAACTTGTGTAATTTTAAAATTTTTTTTTCAGTCATATTTACCTCAGTTCATCGGCGATCTYAAGAAACTTGAAAGCTTATTTGTTGCTGACAACTCATTAGTATACTTTCCTCATATTTTATCTTGCAGAACCTTCAAAGAAGTCGACATATCAAATAATTTATTTCAGTTACCGAGATCTCTACAGTTTGATCACATAATTAAATATTTAAAAGTATTTGAAACTGAAGTGAAAAGAGATATAGTATTAGATATAAAACCATTAAATCACTTGGCATTTTACAATATGCTGGATAATTGGATACCATTTAAGAGACAAGATATACCTCGTACACTGTGGATATATTTTGATGTAGTTGGTCGTTGTATGTTGTGTAATAAGTGGATACTACCTGAGTATTCTCGAATAAGTCATACGTATGCTTTACCTACAGCAATAAGTACAATTAAAGATCACACAATCAACGGTATACCATGGCAATCATTGATATGTTGTTATAGATATGATTGTAAGAGACGAGTTTAGTATAAGCCATATTTATGTATATTTATTGATATGAAACTTAATTAAGTATAAAAAATATTCTAATTAAAAAGTGTATTTATAAAAATTGACATTATCTTTTATCACTGTATCAATGTTTAATACTAAACTAATAATACAAATAAACAAATAAAACAAATAATAATAAAGCAGTTAAAAAGATTATTTAAAAAATTAAAAATCTTCTGTTTTTACAAAATTTGTTATTAATTTATTTTAAATTTTGAGTAATCTTAATTGTATTTAATACAAATTTGATTAAAATACATTGTTATATTTTGTATTATATTTTTCTTTCCTTAATTAAAGTAGTTTACCTGTATACTAGTGTATAATAATAACATAATTATTGTGATACTCATTTACTATTATTATTATTATTCTACCTGTATAAGTAAGATCTCCTAAAATTATAATATATATCATTAATCACTTACTTATTTTAATCTATAATKATAAAAATTGATGATTTTATTAAATATTTAAAAATGTATAACAACTGTAAATACTTGATTTTGTCCATGAAAAGAGACATTTTAGCAGTTAATCAAACATTGACTGAATATGTAAATTCATTTTTAATTTATATGTCATACATAATGTAATATAATATTGTCTTTAAGTATATATAGTAAAGAATAATTTAAATTTAAATTTGAAAGTACATTTGTAGTGCATTGTGTTTACATTKTAATGAAATTAYTCTAAGTTTAGTTACAATTAAATCTATTATTATTATATCTATTATTATTTAAATAAACACGTATTTAAAAACATTTTTAAAATTATCTAGGTAATTACTATTTGTTGATTAGGCCCCCCTTCATTATTAATATGTAACTACAGGCAGTAGATTAATGGAATTTTTTTTTTAATGAATAGGAATATGGAAAATTAATTATTTGGCCCCTTAAATATATTTTTATTGATTATTTTAAGATGATTTGTAGCATTAATAAGGACTTTTTTGATAAGTACTTGTTGTAGTATGCCGTATAGTAATATAAACAAAAGTGATTATGTCTTGCAGATTAATAATACAATTTAAAAGAATGATTATTTTTTAATATATTAAAGCTTTCATAATTTTTATTTCCATTAAATGTGATATATACCTGGAGTATATATCACATACTTAACATTTTTATCATCAAAACCTAGAATTTATTGTTATAACAGTGGCTTTAGTATGGTTAGATGTTATACTTAAGTATAGTAGTATAAAATGTAGTAAATATTTGAAATTACTATTAATTGTCTTATCTTTTAACCATATAAATTAAATAATTTATGTACTTTTGACTAAAAGTGTTATTGGCTATAAAATTTAACCATATCTATTATTAGGACTGCTTCAAATTTTCTATCACATAGTAAATCTAAATTATTTTTTGTGTGCACTGTACAAATATACTTAAACCATAAACAGGCRCAAATCTGGGATTATTTTAATGAGACGTAATTAATTAACTTAGAATAATATAGTGAATTCAAGCCTCATTTATACTAAGAACAATTATAATTATGAAATTATTTTTTAAATTAATAATAAAACCCTGGAATTTTATGCAATTGCATGTTTGTATATAATGTATTGGAGTTTGAAATGTCAACGATTCATATTGCTCCAAACTTCAAATTAGTTTGTATAATCTTG